TCAGGAATATAAAATAATTTAAACAACCAAAGGGCACATTCTGCAAGCCTGCCTCTTGGCCAACAGCACTCAGTCTTTCTCTTTCCATGAGTCTAGAGTGCTCAGCTGCTCTCTCTCTCTTCATGGCCTCATCTCTGCATCCATCTTTGATGTCACTGCTTCTCTGGTTAGGGTCCTGTATTCCACTTGTGCTCTTCTCCCTCGATGGTCCTAGGGTCCTCTGTTTCTGAACTATAAGATGAACTGCTCCCCAGTTTTTGATACAAAACTTCTACCTTTACAGTCGTGACAGTTGACATTAGTCATGATAACAATTACTCACTACTGATTCATAAGAATCTTATCCCCATCTCTTTTCACCAGACCCATCTAGACAAGATATAAATTGTTCAGTGGGGACTCGTCTTTCCCCACACACTTTTAAACTAAACTCCCTCTTGAAAACGTGTAAGCCAGGCACTTCGTGCCTTTATCGCCCCCCTCATTTTAGGTAGCCAATGTCTAAGTTACCTGTGCCTATTTATATTTACCGAGTCTATAGAGGGGATAGGGTTGATACTTGATGTGAAGACTCCTTCCCTTTCAGTTGGTATTTTGAGCCACTACTTTCATAAGTATAGCCCAGTCTTTTTTAATTTTGAGTTTTGTTCCACATTTTCTCCTACTGTATCCTGGACCCTCTCATGTGATCCCTTTCAGGGCAATTGGTGGTGGTAGCTGGGTACCATCTAGTTATTTTGGCCTCAGAGTCCTAGAAACTGATGTTCACATGCTCTATTAGTCTACTGGATTATTGACTCTAAACATCTTCAATTCTCATCATTCTTCTTTTTTCCACAAATGGAAAGACCAATAGTTGTACCTTAGGTAGTAGTTATTCATGAATTTTTAAGATCCCAGTTGCTACTCATCAAAGAAGAATGTAGAACATTGTCTTTGAGGGCTATGTTATGCCAAATTACCATGGTGCCCTCTAAAGACTATGGTTCTGAGTCCCCCAAGCTCAGTAACCAATTCCCTTAAGATGTTTGATAATATCTAAGAAGTTTTCATCATTTGACCTGATGTATGTTCCACCACATTCATACTTGTGTTTTGCAGGTAAGTCAAAAATACCCATGTACAGACATCCTCTTTCAAATGCTTCCTCCCATGTTCATTCAGCTCCCACATCTTGTATATTGCCTTTCCTTTCCTTTAATTTCTAATGGAGCATCAGTCTAGTGTTTTTACTAAGTCAGTCTCTACCAAGAAAGGAGTTTTTATTCCATTGTCCTTCCTGACAGCAAGTCTGAAACAAAACTTTGACATGTTCTCATAACTAAATTTCTGAAGTTTTTTGCTAACAATGGAAAAATGAATATGCATATATTCACCTGGAGTCCTGGTGTAGTGCTGTAGGATAAGAACTGGACCACAAGGTCAGTGGTTCAAACTCAACAGCTGTTCCTAGGAAACCCTATACAGGGTCTCTATGAGTTGGAACCAACTCGACAGCATTTAACAACAACAACATACTCATCAAGACCTAATAAAATAATACCAGAATCACAATTTTTTAGTATGAAGGAATATAACAAGAATTTTTTTTAAATTATAGTGCCCTTTTTGTTTTATAATGTCTACAAACTATCTGTATTTCAGCTCTAAATCCTTTTATCATGCTATCAAAGTAGATAAAGCTGCAGACCAGGAAACTGACAAGGAAATCTAAGAATTTTGACACTCAAAAGAAAGAGAACTTAATAAGAAAAAAGAACAGATCCAGAGAACCTAAGGAAGGAAAAAGCAGTTAAGAATTAAATGGTTTTGCTTTGCTTTAGGGGAGGTGTTTTGTTTGATAACAAGTCAGAGGCAATATACTGAAAAACAATAGCTTTTGTGGAGGATGCATAGGACAGAGACATGAAAATGCTTTGCTGAGCATTAAGATGTCAAGAAGGAAGAATAACTGCCCTATATCACGTTAAGATAAGGTAGAATAAGGCTGAAGCAGAAACAAAGAGCCAAGGCTTTACACAGCATATCATGGAGTCCTGGTGTGGCATTGTAGAATAAACACTGGACTGCTAACCTCAAGGTTCAAATCCACCAGCTACTCCTTGGAAACCCTATATATGGTCGCTATGCATTAGAACCAACTTGATGGCGTGTAACAACATGAGCTCATAAAGACTTGTTGAAAATCCTACGAAGATTTGGTCATCAAGATATTCTTCACCTATTCATTTTAAAACATGATTTAGCACTGATTTTAGAAAAAAAAGAAACCCTCTTTTATATCTAATTTCTAATGATCTTTTAAGTGAAACCGTAAATAAACATAAATTTGAGTTTAAAATACAGAAGTGTTCTGATGATCACTAGAGCACTTACGATGGCCGATCCTCAAGAATCAAGGCAGTGGTAGAAAGCGGCTCAAATTCAAAAGTCTTACGTCTTGAAGACTGGGGTGGTGGTTTACAGGTCCTCCCTGTCCGTGCTTCATACTCCTGAAGTAAATAAAAACAGACTTTATACAGCGATGTCTCCGATTTTTATTTTGGATTATTCAATTTGCATTCTTAAACATATTATTATTTAACAAGGAGCATGTACAATTCCTATATTTCTTTTATAAAAATACTGAGTAAGAATACAACCCACTTTTTTTCCTCAAATAATCTAAATCATGAATTTATATTACAAAATATCAAAGTGTATTAAGAAGGGGGAAGAAGATAGAAATATACTAGTTAACTAAGTAATGTTTTAGTGAGATGTTCTTGATTGCCTTGTATGTTGTCAGTTATCCATGTTCAGCTGAGAAATCTACAAGCTGATATACCTACATGCATATCATTGATGAAAATGTTGAGGCAAAATACAATCTAGCTGTGATGCATTGAACATCTCAATTAAGGGTGAAATTGAACCTGTAATCAAATGCTGGTTCATAGTTGATTAATGTTTAACAACTATAAATCTACCTATGGGTTCCAAATTCAAACAAAATTTCACCAACTTATATTACATAAATAATTATATCCAAAGACTCTACACCAAGTACTTTACTAAGATTAAACTGTTTCTATAGTATTTTTCAAATCTGTTTGGAAGAAGTCCAGCTAGAATGTTCCTTTAGAAGCCAGGATGGTGAGACTTCATCTCTCATACTTCAGACAAGTTACTGGACAGGGTCAGGAGCCCTGGTATGTCACTGTAGGATAAGCAAGGTCCATGGCTTAAACCCACCAGCTGCTCCTGGGAAACAGTATACAGGGTCACTATGAGTTGGAACTGACTCAATGGCACTGCACTTAACAACGAGTCCCTAGAGAAGACTATTATGCTTGGTAAATGGAGGGTCAGTGAAAAAGAGGAAGACCTCCAATGAGATGGATGATACAATGGAAGCAACAATGGGCTCAAATCTAAGAACAGTTGTGAGTATGGTGCAGGAGTAGCCAATGTTTTGTTCCGCATAGGGTCGCTATGAATCAGAACTAACTCTATAGCATCTAACAACAACACTATTATTGCTGTAATTCATGCAAATTTATAGTCCTATTGAAAGAAATAATTTGGCATGATATGCTTCAGGTGAACCCAGTAAAATTTTTATGTTGTTGTTGCTATTAAGTACTGTTGAGTCAGTTCCGACTCATAGCAACCCTGTATAGGGTTTTCCAAGGAGCGGCTGGTAAGTTTGAACTGCCAACTTGTGGTTAGCACTTCAGTGTTTATCCAACAGTGCCATACCAGGACCCTAGATTTTTTTTTTTCCAATATCAGAGCATTCTTTTATAAATGTTCAGAACCTTCTGCTTTAACTTATTTCTAGAAATTTGCCAAAGATGAATGATAAACTTGATAACAAGTATGTTCTAGAACCTATATTCTTCCCTTTCTTAAAAAATAAAGACAACCTATAATTTGATTATTATTGCACCAATTTTACTTTTCATGAAATTCCCTAAAGTTATTCTATGACTTCATGCTAGACAGGACATTTAAATTAAATGAAGACAGGACATTAAGCTAAATGTACTTCTAGTCAGGTATTTTACATACTAGCTGTTTACCTACATGCCTGGAATTCTTTTATCATGTCACTCTACCTTTTCCAACTCAAAGACAATTTCTCTACTAAATCACACAGTTAAAAACCATGATTCTATCCCTCTAAAAAATCTGACAATCTTTGTGAAGCATATTCTTATTTGAGGTATTACTATTAAAAAACTTATGTTGTCTTAAGCATGCTCAATGAACTTCATCTTCATGGTTCCTGTCATTGTTTATAAAAGTCTGTACATTTGTTTAATAATTATTTTTAATTCTGCATTTTCCTTTCAATCTACTAAATCTATGTGCTGTTAATCTGAGAGTTTCCTTATATAATATCCTACAGCACCACACCAGATGGGAACCCAGAAGTATTGCTACCAAGGTTTCAGTTCATGCATGCATAGGTCTATTCCAAACAAAACATGTTTAAACATGTGTCTGGGATCAGTAGATGGCTGCAGACAAGTTCTCTCAGTAACACACTTGTCTTAGTCTCTTTACAGTGTCTTCAAAAAAAAAGTCCTATCACAGTGTCTTCCTAGAAGATATTGGCTTGTTGTTATTGTTAAGTGCCATCGAGTTGGTTCCGACTCACAGCGACCCTGTCTGTATACGGTCGCCAAGGAGTGATTGGTGAGTTTGAACTACAGGTATGTGGTTAGTAGTCCAGTGCTGACCCTACAGTGTCCAACCAGGACGTTTTTATGATTAACAGCCAAGGGTACTGAAGGAAGAAGTTCAGTTCAATGTGCACTGAACGCATTAGCAAAGAACAAAGCTCGAGAAATTGAAATCTTTCAACAAACTGGTGCAGCACTAGAAGCATTCACTCATCTATGTCCAGGCCTAGAATCCTAGACCAAGAGATAATCTATTTCAAAAATAAAAGAAAAATATTTTCAGACAAACAAAAGCTAAGAGAATTAGTTGTATTTCAGCACTACAAGACACTTTATAAGAATTTTTTTAAAGCAAGAAGAGCATGTTATCATATGAATACATGGAACTATAAAGGAATTAATAGTAGCATCAGAAGTAGCAACTATGCATAAGTAGAAAAGACATTTTTCTCATTTTTTATTTTTGAAGAATATTTGACTACTTAAATAAAAAAATAAAACCTATGATAGTGGTTTTCAGTATGTAATTAGAAGATCCATGAGTTTAGAGTGGTAACAAAAAGGACCATCAATAATTATCTGAAAAGGTTATTCAAATAGTCTTCCTTTTTCTATCTACATATAATATACTTGAATTACAACATCATATGGCAAGAAACTGAATGTAGAGCTATAAGAATCTAGTCTTCTAGTAAGTCAGACAGTAAAGATATTTATGAAACTGTAAAATAATGTTCCTCTTCCTACTAGTTTTTTTTTTTTTTTAGCAGCATAAGAATTAATGTTTTTTTTTTTAATGTAGGAGAGGGAACATAGGCATGCGAAACATGCCACACCTAGCAGATTCTTAGGAAATATCTGTTCCTTTTCCTTCTCTCCATTTTGGCTAATAGAACCAGTCATTACAGCAGTATCTTTCCTGCTGTTGGAATACCAAATATGTGTCACTGCCATGTTATATATGTCTCTACAGATGTTGACTGTAAATAAGATGATACTGAAGTTACAGGAACCCTACGATATACCACCCCCCAATAAATCACATAAATTTGCTTGTTTACTTTTTATCTTTCTCATCAAAATGGAAGGCAGCTTGTATAATATATAATTTCCATTTCAGTATAATCGTGTAGACTGTCTATACATTTTATTATTATGTCAGGACTGTAGCAAACTTTTCTAGTTACTATATCCTGTGATCTAAAATCTCCTTGTCAGTCTCTTGATTCTTCTAAAGTTAAAACTTTTTTTTTTTTTT